ATTAATGCCCTCGGCCCTCGGCCCTGGGATGTATGCTACGTTTTATTTCGGACTCAAATTCCACGGCAGCTGATCCGGCCGCCTAAAATATTCAATTATCGAAGTGGTGCATAGGCTTTGGCAACTTTTATGCCTTCCATCGTTTTGCTTAATTGGTAAAGTTTTATGTGCAGCATTTTTTGTTCACTTTAAAGCCCCGTCGTGTTTTATTCCTGTTTTTACAACTTTTCTTGCGGCACCCGCGCAATGTTTGTTTCCGTTTGTTGTTGAAAGAAGGAAAAACATAATTTTTAATTTCGTGTGGGCCAGCGTTTTTATTGGTTTTTAATTTCATTGTTGCAGACATGGTCCGCTTGTCCGCTTTGGCTCTTTCAACGAATGTAAACAGCATCCTTAGAAGCTCCTAACGAACGAAAAAAAGGAGAGAAGGAAAGGAATAAAACGGAGCCCCCGGTGGCCCATTGGGCTGTCATAAAGCGTTGGCGTTGCTTTGTGCGCTGCGCGTCGTCAACGATATCATCATCGTTTTAATCGAAGGACGAGGTCCTTCCCGCTGCGTGCAAATATGCTTTGTCTATAGCATTCGTTTTAATTTTTTTTCTCCTGCTCTGCTGCTGCTGCTGCTGCTGCTGCTGCTGCTCTACTCCACGTTTCCCCTTGCTGTTGTTGTTACTTTTTCATTACTTTGGCTTAAAATTGATATGAAACTTTTTGCGAAGGAGTCCTTGCCATCAATACGCTTCATGTTTATTCTGCCACACACTGGCACACCAGTCCCAAGTCTTTCTGTCTGTCTGTTCCTGTGTCTGAGTCTGTATCTGTGTCCTGTGTCCTGTGTCTGGCTCTCCGGCTGCTCATGCGATTGTGGCCAGTTGTGTTTGGTCGCCGACGTTGCTTTCATGGGTTTTTAATTACGGCAAGAATAACAATATCACGTGTTCCGAGTCCTGGCAGCCGCTCTTTAAGTTTTACTTATTCCACCTCTCTCTGTTTTCCCTACAGTCCCCAAAATCAGTAAACGATAAATAAAATCTAAATTTCAAATGGATGTATAAATCAAATTTTATTTGCTTACTCTCTATATTCAAAACTCCTGGGGTTGAGGAGCTTAATTCGATTGCCGAACCGTTTATCTCTAAACTTTATTATCGCAGGCGGAATTCAGAATCTGAAATTTTTGTAGGGGGGAATCCCCTGGCAGACAGACATTCCATCAGATTTGACTCATTGCCGGCATGTCTAAAATATAGCTTAAATATTTGATGTATCATGCATATGCCATGAGCACACGCCGTGCCGTAAAGCCCAAGAAAAAACAACCACTTAATGCTTTACAAAAGTGGGGAAAAAAAACGAAGAAAAATGCAAAGTAAACATTGCGCATACGCCATGGTGGCCCCTCAGGTGGCAGAGCAACACTTGCTGGCAGCCGTCAGCTTTCAGGTGGCAGGGCAAAGCGCTAAACGCTGTTTGCTGTTTGCCATTCGGATATCGAAAGTTATAAAGCATGAAATCAGTGCCAGCGACGCCCTCGTGTCGTGGGCTGGTGATAACGAGGAGGCCGGGGGAAGGATTTGTCGGCGGGCGTCGAGGCGAGGATGAAACTTGGCGGCATATTTAAATGTGGCTGCAGGGCAGACACAATGGACGGAGGCTGATGGGGTTGCCGGCGAGGGATGGAGCTACCGTGTTTGCTCCGCCAGACAGTCAGAAATGCCGAAAATGTCTCCGCAACTGCGGGCTGCCGTTCGGAATTTTCCCAAAAACAGGCATTTCGCATTTGCAGTGATAATCAAAGGACCGATCAAGTTCTAGGCCTAGGGCGGCCACTTCAAGACAAACTTGGAGTCTGGGCCAAGTTAATGCCACCGCCGACAAATGGAGTTTTCCGTCTGCCTCGTTGCCTGTCCTTCTGGGTCTTAATTTTCCGCTTGTGGTTTTTTATTTTGTAATTTTCTACTCTGCGGCTGGCTGCGGGGCAGAAGACACTCGGAGAGATAGTTGCTTGCCAGTGTAATTATCTGCTTATGCTTTCCTCCTTTGCCCCCATTATTGTTGCCTTTGTGGCCATATAAAGTTGTCGCTGTTTTGACATTTTCCTGGAAAGCTGCTTAGGCAGCTCCAACTCCAGTTTCAGCTCAACCTGAGCAAGCGGAAATTGCACAGAAGCGGAAGTAATTGGCAGCGGCAGCCCGGCAGACAGCACCGAGGATGCCCCTCTAATTCGGTCTTGTAATTAGCGAAACTGTAATGACCTCTTTCTGGGACAACGCCAGACCAAACTCCAGAGCAATCGAATTGCGGTCGAAGCTCCTGGGCCACCGAAGTTGGCAATCTGTTTGCGTTGCACTTCAATTACTTGTTTCAATGCCGCAATTACCATTCATTTGGCCAGGCATAATGTGTCCTTGTCAACGCTGGCTTCTCTGCGGTCCTAGAAGATCTTTGCCTGCCGGAGGACCTCGTTGTTTGCACCTTTGCTTTGGCAATTTACACATGGCAATGGCAATAATAAATCAAAAGTGAAAATGCAAATATTTTCCAGGCAGCAGGCACCAGGCACCAGGCACCATGCACCAGGAGGCAGCCAGACAAACATCCTGCAGGAAGCTAGACAATGTGGTTGTCCAAGAGCCTCGCAGGAGGACGGTGGGGGAGAGATTTATTGCAGGTGACTGCCGAATGTAGTGCATCGCTGTGGGTGAGTGCCACACACAGAGGCATCAATAAATAATTGGAAAATGAATGCTTTGCTTATGAGAGATTTCGCAAATGACCCAGCAGACAATGAATGGAATATTTGATGAACGAGTTGGAGGAGCGCCTAAGTGGTGGTTAGACCGACAACATCCGATGTTGTCCTTAGTTGGACGCCAACTTCCGGCACTTTGGGCACATCCCCTGCGAAACGCAAATTAAATTCCCTGAATCGACCGCAAAGTTCGGGGCATCAACTGTCGCCAAATGCCACAATTAAAATGAAAATTAACAGCGAAAGCAAACTGTCAATACAACTGTCACTCCCGACAGCCAGTTGACAATGGCAAATGAGCACGGAATACGGACTGCGGAATACGAGTGCTCCGGAACACCCAGGACTACACATGGACATGGGGAGCAGCCAACGAAGCCACTTGGCGGGGCATCGAAATAAACTCATTACAGCAATTTATGCAAAATGCTCTCGCCGCAATTGGGAATCCATTTAAAATTGAAAATGCCACCGAAAAAAGGGCGCCCCACGCTTTGCCTGTTTGCCATGTTGTGGTTGCCCTTCCTGCCCCTCCCTTCTTTGTGTTTTGTGTTGTGTTTGCTGAGCTGCCTCCATTGATGCATATGAATTCAATTATAAAACAACGCCGCCTTCGAGGGCGTGTCTGGGAGGCGGAGGGGGCGTGGGAGTGGGAGGCAACCGCGACCACGAACTGTTCTCTAATGAAACAGTTTTTTGCCGGTGCCCGGGCACAACTTGTTAATTTTATGCAGCAGACAATGAGGACTCGCAGGACACGATACTGTCAGGGTGTCTCTCCTTCATTCGGAGTGGCGCATTTACATTTCCGGCGGCATTTGCATATTGCCTGCATAAAAATCAAAGGACCAGCTGGCAGCAGGAGCCAAAGGAACTATGCACAGGGAGAAAGGAATAAAGACTCGAACGTTAAAGTAATGCCTAAAAGTTGACTTCACAATATTATAAGTAAGAGCAGTCTTAAAAGGAATGAAATTCTGCAAAAAGTACCTCTGCATTTTCTCCCCGTGTAGACACGAAAAAGTGTAAGCCCAAAGGAAGTTCGGGCTCGTAGGCGTGTTCACCTGCCACCAAATGGCGGGCGGCAGGCAACATAAATAACGGCGCGGGGCACAAAATGCGAAACAAAAGGCGTTCGGCCGGCAAAGTCAACTGGTCCCCACTTGACACCTCATAATAAAATTAAGTATACGCCACTCGAGCCGAAGGATAGGAGCAGCCAGGGAGCCCAGGACCTCCGTCCGTGGCTGTGCTGTGTTGTTATTTATGCTCTCGCCAGGACGCCACAGCGTGCAGTCGTCCTTCTTTGAAGTTTATTTGCGTATTTCAAGTGCGCCTGCCGCTCATTTCAATTTTCCAAAGGGCGCCCATTGTTGTTTTGCTCCTGTTTCAGTTGTCCTGATGATGTTTATGGTGCCGCTGTTGTTCCTGCTGCCGCTGGCAATTGTTTAACTAGTTGGTGTCAGTTATAATGAATTTTAAATTAAGTTGTTATTGCCGTAGAGCGGGAATTAGGCGATCCTTCGGCAGCAGGAACAGGAGCCGCAGAGGCAGTTTATTTGCATAATAAAGGACAGGACACGACTAATGTTAATTAAATTGCAGCAGACAACAACTAGCTTTTTGGGCATTTTAATTAAAAGCGCAAGCCGACAGATCGCTTAAATATTTAAATTCGATTCTGTTCAGCCCAAAGATATGCCGGGGAACATGTACAGAGCTCTGCCTAATTCCATTGAATCAATATCAACACTAATTGCTCGGATGGCCGAAGGCCAAATATTTGCTTATTCATATCGTTGCGGAACATCTGTCTTTACCAAAACTGAAAACCATCTCAGCCGCAAATCTCCGAATCCTTTGATATTCGTAAGTCATACTTTTGGGCGAACAGAAAACTCACTCTCCCTTCTAGTCGCTATTTGACTTTATTCCGAGCACTACATTTTCTGCTTTAATCTACAATCTATTTTGTGTAACAATCTAAGAAGCCAATTCTAAAGCATTTCTCTCCTCGTGCAGCAAACTATTTGCATGCCAGCCAGGAGCCAGTAGCCAGGACTCCACTCCGGGACTCCGATTAAATCCTTTCAAACGACAACCATATGCAAATGCCAAACAGCCAGGACCACAGGCAACAACAACTTTGTGCATTACTCGGATTGCTGGGTGAAGTGAAAAGGAATTGGAGAGCGCTGCAAAGGGTCCTGGGAGGCCGAAGGGATGCTGGTTTTTTCGGTCGCTCAGCTCATTTGCTGGTGACCCCACGCAACATGGTGAAGTAGGAGTAGGACGCGTTCAGCAGACTCTGAAACATGGCCAAAGTCATGGGGTAAACGTTGCCAACTCTTATCTGCCGGATGAAATGGAGCGCACCGCACCCGAAATGGGAATGGATTAGAATCAGGAGCCCGCAAATGAAATGCATTCACGTTTCCACCAACCCACCTCCAGGGGACGCTGCGTCTGCATCAAGAAGATCAGGAGGGTTTTCCGAAACCGAATCCTGGCCTCGTACCAGGGCACATTGTACACAGCCTCCGCCACTCGGTTGTTCTGCAGAAAAAATAAAATACGAGAGTACTTTGGAAAATAATTACGCTTCAATTTAAAGCCTTTCGTGATCACCTCGAGGCTCAGGTCGTTGGCCCGATTGTAGTAAGTGAACAGGACATACAACATGGTGAAAATGTACATCACAATTGAAATGACTTGGGTGGGAGAAGTAATCTAGGAATAACCAAAAGATTGCTCAGCAACATGACTATATAGAACTTTATAAAACCATACAATGTTTAGGCAAAAGAGCAGCATGCTGATTATAGATCCAAAGATAATAGCTTCAGCGGCTAATATATTAGTAACCAGTGCGTTGAGTTCCCTCACATATCTGAAATGGAAGAAGCTTAGCTGTTGGTCACTCCCGGAAGGATTCTCACCGCATAACCCGGATGTGATAGCGAATGCAGGAGGTCAACATGCGTAGACGGAGCTCCTCAGATTGCTCCTTGCCCCCGATCTGTCCCAGTCTTTGGACAAGGATCTGCAGCATGGCTTTGCCAAAAATGGTCAAGCCAGCAAAGAGGCTAACAAACGGCATATACATCATGGAAAGGAGCAGGGGCGAAGGCAACTGGGTCAGGTACACCACCTCGTAAACGGGTGAACGAGTCATGTTTACTCCAGGAATGGCTACGCCAAAGGGATGAGCTGAAGGACAGTCAAGAAGCGGTTCCCTGTACATAAGAAGGATTAAGTTAGATGCGAGACTGTACGAACCTCTCTCCTCTCTGAACAGCGGCGATATCAGGGCCCCGACAATGTCAAGGAACGAGGCACTCAGATTCAATATGGCCAAACGCCGTGCCTCGCGCTCTGCTCTTCGCAGGATAACCCGGCCCCGCTCGTCAGTGGAATCAAAAATCGATTGGAATAGAATGTAAAACTGAGCTAGGAACTTCTCGAACTGGACGCGCTTGATGATGACCAGCCACGTGCGCATTAGGGCATTGAAAATGGCCGAGAAGAAGAACATGTTCAGGATGAAGGCGGGCAGGTCACCCCACATGCGCAGCAGATAGAAGAACTGCATCAAATTCGATACCATCACGGGCAGGACGAAGGCAAACTTGCGCCAGTTGGTGGCCGGAGTGGGATACAGCACGGCCAGGTAGCGCCACATTCGCACATTGATGCCCACCAGTCCAATGTCCTCGATTGCCATTTCTGCTTAGATGTACTTACTCCAATTCCGATTTCAATTCAGATAGAGATTCCTATCCCTCTTCCCCGGCAGATCCACTTCAAACTGTGCCGCAAAGTGCTGAGCAAATGTCTTTTATTTCGCGCCGATTGCCGCCCTCCATCGAGGAAGGCAATCTCTGTGGTGGCAGTTGACAATTTAAATGGGATTAGAACAGGAGACGGGAGTGAGAAGTGCTTCTGGGATTGGGATTGGGAATGGGAAGTGAGGGTGGGAACTGAAGCCATTTGGCAATTGTCATTGCGTAGTCTATAATTTAGCTAATTGGCCAATGATGAGTGTAATGTAATTGGATTGCAAGTCCCATTCCCATTGGTTCATAGGCTGCGCGGATATTAGAACCTCAGGGAGATATTTTCATTAAAAGTGTCATTACAGATATGTACAATTTAGATATTTAATACTTCAAGGTTAAAAGCTAGTTATTTCTAGACACCTTACAATGTTAATTTAAATGTCTTGGTATACGTTAATGGTCTGATATGCAATACTTAGAATGGAAAAGGTAAAAGTTTAGTTTAATAATTCGAATAAAGATATATTACTAGGGCTTCGTAATTTCAGAAAAAACTGTCTAAAACTACTGAAAAAATGTAACAAAACATTAAAGAGTCACGTTTCCATGTAATTATATTAGATAATATAAAGAAAGTAATTCTAATAAATAAAAGTAAACCTAAAATATATTCCCTTTCAGTTTTAGCAATTGTTAAATTCTACCATTCCCGATTTCTTGTCTTTAATGAATGGGTTTCCATCGCTGATTACTTTAATATATTCCCATTGAAATCAAGCTTATTCCGTGGCAAAATGTAAATCCCCATTTAATTTGGCCATCGATTCTGCCTTTACACTCCTTCCTTCAATCTCACCCCGGAAATCCCCATCCGGAGCGGTCTTCCATGGTCCGTCGCACAGGCAGTCAAAAAGCCAACGAGCCGCTAACGTGGCCAGTCAGACACTCGGATGGTGGAAAGGGACAAACTGGGGACAGGTTGGACGGTCTGGAGCGATGGCTGGCATGACTTATTAAACAATAAAACCGGATTATCCGCAAACAACTGGGCAAACATGCCAGAGCCAAATATTTTGGCCTGGCCGCTTATCATGCAAACGCGTGGGACGACGACCACGAAGCCAGGAAGGCAGGAACAGGAACCGAGTCCAGTTCAGACACAACACACACAACACAACACAAAAAAGGAAAAAACAATATAAAAATCAACAAGCGACCGACTGGCAACATAACATAATTCAGCAACAATGCTGGCTCAGCAAATATGGCGAAGGAATTAAAATGGGCCAGGATGTGCCACCCGGCCAGAAAGGAGTCCAATGCCAATGCCAATGCCAATGCCAAGCCCATAAAGGCACACATTATGGCCACTTAACCGCGCGTTATGCCGCAAAAAGGCAAAAGGACAAAGCCAAAAGGCAAAGAAGGTTCGGCCCAGGCGGCGTATGCGCAATATTTTGTGCAAACATACTCTCGGGCTTGTGGGAGGGAGACACGGGTCACGGGGCGGGGGGCGTGCAAATATGCAATGTCAGTTACAGCTGCCCCATTTGGTTGCTCATACGCAGCGTTGCACATAAATCAAAAGGTGGCAAGGCAAACCTTTTGTGCATTTCCCCTCAACAGCAACAATAACTACACTCGTAAAAAAAAATAATTAATGTTTTCCCTCAAAATCGGGAAGCAATAGAATTATTTATCTAACAATATAGTGTAAGATGCGTAACACTTTACCATTTACTTGCAACACAAAACGTATGAGTGATACCCGTATTACTCGATTTCATAAAACCCATTAAATATATTTTGTTTTCAATACTTTCTCCACTAATTGATTTAAAACCCTTTCTCTCAGTGCTCACTCTCCTTGATTATCCTGGCAGTAGCCATTTTTGAAGCACAATTTATTATAAATTAAAATGCTAAACAGGGCAAATGAGGACATTTAATTATCACATGCTAGTGAGGATCTTAGTCTGGATGCGGTCCATTGCACAGAAGACACATCAAAGGGATAGGGTTAGGCCAAAGTGCCTGTTAACCCCATAAACCACACGATGACATTAATTACGGACCCAACACAGGACTGGCATTGGCATTGCCACAGCCAGAGCAGGGAAAGCAATCGGAGGGGGGCGGAAAATGGTACTCCGGATCCCTGGCAGGATGGTATAAAATTAATATCGAGTAATTAACAGGGCAGGGAGTTTTAGGGGCCGTGATTTAAGCCCCTCTCGATACACTCGATTGGGTGGGCGCGTCAATATTGACTTTGCCACATTCTCACTGCCATTCTCTGGGCCTCACTTAGCCGGCTTAAGCAGCCTTTTGCCAATTAGGCAGCTCACTCACAGCCATGTCCGGGATTGGCCTTTAAAGTGTGGACTTCTTTACAGCATCCTGTAGCACCAGCTGGTCTTGGCCCTGGTTACACAAGCATGCCTAATGCGGCTTAGTTTTTGTTAACGATTCGCAAACAAGAGTGTGTGTCAGTCCACCCCCACAGCCAGTACAAAAGCGGAACCAAGTTCGATGGCGAGTTCCATTATTGACTGACTCTGAGTGAGTCTGGTGTGTGGGCGGCCACTGTACGTGTCCACAAGATGTACCAGATGAGTAAGCCGGCCCATGAAAATGAGTATCGTTTGTTTGCGGATAATAAAGCATCTGAAAGAATGTTTGCCGTCCCACAAAAGATAACTTTTCGGGGATCTCTGAGGGATTTAGCAAATGATAACAACATCGCATGACGATTCACACAACGGTGGAAACCCCTGGGAACTCCGCCGATCGAGTGAATAATGCAAAGGCATTAATAAGCCAATCGAGGTCGAACAATAAGCAGCGGTGTATATAAGCTTTCACTGGACAGAGAATTACAAAAATACTCATACGAAAATATATACATTTTATGCTTTGTTTTCGCATTAAATTACTTTCCATTTATACTTTAATACTTGGTATTACCAACTAAAGCATATTATTTCGATTTCCTTGAAACCTATTCAGACATAAATCATGTTGGATGGTACATCTAAATACGTCAAATCTGACCTACCTCAGTCGTTTCTCTTGAATCTATATTTAAACGCAGAAAGCAGTGTGTTCCGGTGATTTCATAGCATCACTTGATAAGATGTGGGCACATGGACTAAATACTTCTAAATTAATGTGTTTTTTATCTCAGAGAGCTCTAGCCAAGGTCAGCGCAAGTGTTCCCTATATACACTCATCATATTCAACCCATTTCCAGATGCATCATAAGGGGGAGTCTTTATTTTTTGTCCCTTTCTCTCTTTTACATATTATATTATTTATTTGCGTTGATTCACATCGAATATATTTAGAATTATCAATGGGAATATAATGTTATTTTTTTAGAGTGGGAATCGAATGTGCACTTGTGAATCATTAATCTATGATGTTTTCTGAAGTAAAATAGCACTATACATCACCGAAATGTAAGTTTAGAAAACCCTTTCTGTTATCTTTGTTTGGTCACAAAATAAATCATTTTTATTTAGTCAACTTACGACTAAGTTCATTGCTTGAGTAAAGACCTGAATGAGTGTTATCCTAAGTAAGGAGATTAACCGAATAATTACGTACTAAGAGTCTACTTTGGTACTTGATTGTGCGCTCTCTGAGATTAAGGCAAATTCAGGTAGATTCTACCGATCTACGGCAGGTTGCATCCCACCTGGGTGACGACCTTGGCGGCCACATTGGACGCCATCCGAATGCATTCGCCCAGCGAACGCTTCTCCAGCCAGGCGTGCAGGAATCCGGCAACAAAGGCATCTCCTGCGCCAGTCGAGTCCACCAGCTCATCCACTCGCTGTGCCCGATAATCCTCGAAAGTGATGGGACCTGCAGGAGCCAGCTCCTCCACATAGTTGGTAATCACCTGGACACCGGCACTGCCATTCGTCACAAAGATGACCTTGGGACCGCTGGCTTGCAGTAGGTGCTTAGCCAGTTCGTCCACGTGTTCGAATCCTCCGGCAGCCTTTGCCAGGGCCTCGAACTCCTGTCGGTTTCCAAAGACAAAGAAGGCCAGACGGGCTAGCTTCAGCATAGCCTGGGGATTTTCCCGCACAATATAGGGCGCACTGAGATTCAGGGCCAGTCGTCGGCGCTCCCTCACCAGGTGCTGCACTATATAGTCGCACACGTCGCTCCTCTGGGGCACGAAGAAGCCCTCCAGGTACAGGATCTGTTTGCGCTCCACAGGTCGCAGAAAGCTCTGGCCCTCGTGGCTAACGGCGTGACTCAGTGTCTGCACCTGGAACTGAGCCGAAGCACCGATGTTGGCATATAGCGTGGGGTTATCTTTGTACATCAGGCAGACGCACTGGCCCGTGTGCCCCTCCTCCACGGTCTGTAGTCGCGCCTCGATGCCTCGCTCCCGAAAGATACGTCGCAGCTCCTCGGCTTGCTTGTCTGAGCCAACGGCGCCAAAGAAGAGGGCATCCGTGCCGAGCTGCTTCAGGATGCGGGCTGTGTTGAGGGCTGAGCCACCAGGATTCGTGAGACACTGAGAGCTGGAAGGGATTACATATAAATTAGAATTTATGTTATAGGAAGAAGATGCGTAAGTGCGATTAGTAAGCATTACTATATTACATATAGAATGCATTGAAGCGCAAACTTAGGTAAATATAACTAGAAAACTGTTATGTTAGGTAGTAATACATATACCAAAAATATAATGTTGTTAGGGGTATAAAATATAATCAAAGCATAATAGCTTTGTTTTAAAACTGATTTGGAATTATCTGAGAGTTTTACTTGAATAATACGGAAACTTTTTCCAAATTCAAATCAAGATCCAAGCGAACTGCGCACTTTTAAAGAATGTATTAAGACCAAGCTCACCTCTCTGAAGCCTCTGTGGCCAATTGATTGAGTTTTTCAATATCCAACTCTCCCTTGGAACCCAGCTCGAGGCCATAACGCTCGAGAAGCTCTGGATCCTCCAGCTTAACCAACCGGTCCAAAAGAACGTTGCCAAAACAGATTACTTTGCGAGGCCTGAAAAGATGTGGGGAAGTCCGGAAGTCAGATGGAAAAGCTCAAGTTTGGGGAAACTTTCCCCAGTTCGAACTGGGAACTCACGTGTGGAAAGCCCCTTGCGTGTCGTCGTCATCGCCGGCCTGGCCCCCGAATATTTTCTCATAGACGTAGCTCAGGTACTCCATTGTATGCAAAAATTAACGTTCAGCCGGGACTTTTCGCGTTCTATTTGCGATATGCGATAAAAGGCAGAAACTGCGACTGATCCAATCCGATCCGAGATGCGATGTTTTCGTCGGATGGCTGAGAACTGAACTGAACGCTCGGTCCGGTTTGGTGCGCTGCTTTTATCTCGCTCGCGCCGTCGTGTTTTTCCCAAGTCTACCCATTTTGGGCAATTAGTTCGTCCAACTTCATTTGGCTTTGTGCGGCGGCTTACAAATATTGCTTTTTCGTCTCTTTTGTGCCACTTCGCATTGTTCTTTGTTGTGTTTTTTTTTCCTTTCTTGGACGACTTCTTTGACTTTGATGGGGACTTTCAAGAGCACGGAGCCAGAGCTTTTGGCCTTTCGTCGTGGTGGCTCTTGTTTTTGTCCTCCTCCTTCCTGCCGTTGTGTTGTGTAACGGAACTAATGGCTCTAACACAAAGTTCAACTCGAAATGTCATCCACTTATCCCTAATGACTTTATCGGCTGACTTGTGCCAAGTAATTGTTTGGTTGAATTACATAAATTATCTGTTCTAGTTTAATATTGTTACGTTTGGCAACACTGCATTGGTAATGTTAACAGCTGCTCGTTTGTTTTTGTTTACAGCCAACTGGGCCGGCGGAAAAGCTTCACCGGCTTATCCATGGAAGAGCAAGTTAGCTGCTAGGCTTTCAGAGCGAGAGAGCGGAGAGCGAAGCGAGCTTTGACATCAGGGTTGTCATTAGACGTCACAGAAACGAAGTGACAGTTGGGAATTTAAATGAGTTTCGAAGGAAAATATCAGAAAAATACATATTTGTATATAATACAGCGAACAACAAATATGTTTGCAAATGAGCTTTCTGAAAATTATAATTTAATAAAAAAAAGGGATTTTAAATATTTTTAGGAGAAGAAAAATATAAAAGAAATAAGTAATTTAAAGTAATAAGTTCAAAAAATAAAATAAATAATATTACACTTATTATGTATTGACTTTTTATAATTTTATTTTATCCTTTAAATATTTAGCCTCTAAATTTTGTTTCGAGCCAGTAAAGCTTACACCAGCTATCTATTTAATGAAATAAAAATAAAATTTGTATTTAATGAAATAAAATTCTCATCTTTTACTAATTATAATTATAAAGAAAAACTCATTTAATAGAAAGAAACTGCAAGTTATGTTTCTATAACAAATATTATCGTGTTAAAAATACAACCTCCAATGAATCAACAAATTATTTTAATTGTTTTCTCTTCTCCAAATACATGTTTGCGACTCCCTTTTATTTCACCAGATTCTTAAAAACCGGTTTCATATTTTTGCTTATTCTGCACTGCAATTATGTGTACCTCTTACCACCATAAATGGGAAGAAACATTTCGCCAGCGGACGAAAGTCAATGGCAAACATTTCGCAAACTCATTTGGGGCAAGATAATGCTTAATAAAGCAGGGAGGTACTTCCCAGCTCAAATCCCCAAATGGGAGTGGAGTGGGGAAAAAGTACCAGAGATCGAAAAAATCACAGCCTTGCTAAACTGGGGCTTTCTGGCGGAGAACCATAGTGGTTATCAGGGTTTTTCCCAGACTCAACAGCACCAAAGGGGAAATCCCCCAGCATAAGTAGCTGCATCGCATGGCTGCACTAAGAGCCGGTTCTGCTTGATGTTGTTGGTTCACGTGATGTATCTTTGAACAGTAGAGGTCAAGAAAATAGCACGGAATGACAAAGATGATAAATAAAAAATAAAAAACTATAAAACCTTAATGGGTTGAATGTCTTTAAGATATAAAAATATCTTTGATTTTTTTCCTTTAAAGAAAGAGAATCTTCTTTTGAGACATATCCAAATAAGATGAAAGCTCAAATAATCTAATTCGTTGATGATAATATATTATATATAAAAACTTGAATATAAGTTGTAATTTTTTATTTTTTTATTACAATACCGAAAATCTTTAGTATAAATATTCAAGAAAAATTAAGCATAATTTTCTTTATAATTATTAAAAACATCTAAAGATGTAATTAGATTGCGTTTTGTAACATAATACATATTTCCCATTTGCAATTGACAGTGGTTTTATTTTTGACCACGGCTGTTTGTAAATGTATTTACTTACATACATAAACATAGTATGTATGCTCTTGCCGGCAACAGTTGGTGACCAACTGCAGGTAGGACAGGTGTGGACTTTGGACCGGCTTTGAAAGCCGAATGCGGCTCAATGCAAACACTTTTTCGGGGAAACTCTTGAAACCAGTTCGCACTCTCTTTAAGCTTTGACTCACGTCGGCACTTGAATCTTGGACCGGGCCAGTTTAGTGCCATGCTATCGTGACTCAGCAGATGGGCATTCGCATCCATATCCATATCCACGCACCGATCACCAATATTCCACTTGCATTGTCACTTGCACCAGGCCATGTGTCGAGGGCATGTTGCACACATAACAGGGTGGCATGGTAAGGGGATAGTGCTGCCATCGAAAAAGGCTAAAAATATCAGAAATTTATTATATTAAATATGCAGCTTTGACGTCTGGATTGACCTACACGAAACATTCATATTCTCACGTTTGCTATAACATCAGAATACCGGGGCATTACACTCTATAAAATCTTGGGAAACCGTCACACAGGGATTTCAGTTACTTGTGAAATGAATATTCCTAACGCATTTAAACACCATTTTATGGTCTTTGTTTATTTAAATTTATGCACTTGTAAATATATTGTAATTTCCCAAAATAAAATATTTATAGAATGTATTAAAGTATTAATTAAAATTCAAACAATCAAGCAAAGTAATCTAATTACGAAATGTACTTTTGATTGATATCCCATGATACTAGAGGCAACCTGACCTTTCCAAAGAATGCGTACCATGCCCAATCTGGCTTGAAAACCCCCATTTGGTCACCTCTCCCCCTCGGGGGAATGCTTTGCCCAGGTTCATTGGCCACTTTCGAGGCGAATTTGGCGCGCAAATTGTGGTCTGAGTCGGCAGTTTTCCCTTTGTGCTGCACTTCTACCCTCCGATCCAATTGTTTACTACAATTGTTTATGTTTTTGGTGCCCGCATAGGTCAGTAATTACTGAGCTGAGCGGGGAGCTGGATGGGTAGTAAAAATTTATTTAAATCTGTTTACATATGTCAAATGGGATATTTTTCCAACTCAACAGTTTTGGCTTTGGGGGAAGTTCATTGATTTCATATTTTCGCTGTTTTTCAACTTATTATTTTTTATACTTATTTTAACCAATTTGAATTTCAACACTTGTTGTTCTCCCCTTTCAGGAAGTTCGTTAAACTTTTGCAGAATATTTGCAATGTTGTGTGAAATTCAATTTCAGTGGGAATAAATGGGGCGATTTTTATACCCTTGCAGGGTATTATAATTTCAGTTAGAAGTTTGCAACGCAGTGAAGGAGGCACCTCCGACTATATAAAGTATATATATTCTTGATCAGGATCAACAGCCGAGTCGATCTAGCCATGTCCGTCTGTCCGTCTGTCCGTCTGTCCGTCTGTCCGTCTGTCCGTCTGTCCGTTTCTACGCAAACTAGTCCCTCAGTTTTGAAGCTATCTGAATGAAACTTTGTAGTTAGCCTTCTATATACTCTCACTCGTATATATGTCGGAACGGGCCGGATCGGACGACTATATCATATAGCTGCCATAGGAATGATCGGAAAATTTTTACAAAAATTTTTTTAACTTTTTCAGTTTTCAATAGAATTGGATCAAATTTGAGATATAGCCATTTTACTATACTCTACAATTTTGCATAAAATTTTATGAAAATCGGACTACTATATCATATAGCTCCCATAGGAACGATCGAGAAATTAATACAATTAAATTTATAACCTTTTCAGTTTTCAACTGATTTTCATCAAATTTTAGGTATAGGCATTTTATAATAGTCTTAAATTTTGTGTCAAATTTCATGAAAATCTGACTATTATATCATATAGGTGCCATACAAACGATCGTTTGATGTAGAGGAAAAATGCAAATCTTTGAATGTAAAACTGCAAATATAATATGTATAGGTGAATACAATGAAAGCAGGTATTACTTCATTGTTTTTTAACACAAATATATATCATTTATATTGTATGGTTTTTTATTCATAGAAGTTCTATCTGCAAGGGTATATAAACTTCGGCGTGCCGAAGTTAGCTTCCTTTCTTGTTTTTTTTTTTTTTTTGCAATTTTCGGGATTTGGAAGTACAGTTGCTTTAGTTGGGAGTTGCACAATTTTAATTTGGTCTCTTAATAAGGAAAGCAGTCTTATATTGGGGAGAGTTTGTTTTATTTCAGATCTTAAATAAATATAAGAGTTCCCATAACCTATTTTTCGAAAGGTAAAGCCAAATGGACTTCAACCTGGCTTTACTATTTACTTTAAATTTAAATATTACACCTAATATATTATATTAATATGTTGATATCCACTAATATTTCGAGCTACCCTCCCCGAAATGTTATTGTTTTCAATTTCCCTGCTTGTTCAGCAGTTTGTTCAACCCACAAAAAGCGTAAACTACGAGTATCACTCATATCGTATCGAGTACGTGTCTTTGGGCAGGTGCTATTTATAACTCAGGTGGTCCGACACAACAATATGCAAAGACCACAAATTCGCCAAATTATGCTTGGCGCATCAAAATAAAGTCGATATTGAAAGTAATTAATCACTGAAAGTGCATTATGATGGGGGTAAGCTCAGGGGAAACCTCAATACCGAATGGCGTAGTTCCCTCAGCGAGGTTCAATTGATAAAATTCGGGCCAGAAATCGCAGCTACCGATATCGACACGTTCACACGTGCTGGTGTAAGCGGCTGGGAATTATGAAAAGAATAATAATAATGGAGCGACGCGATAAATTGATTAGCAGCAGCCTCCGTTGTGCTGGGGGGCACTGGGAGTTCGATTCTGTTTGTCCAAGTGTCTGGGAAAAGTCCCAAAAAAAGATTCGGCATGAGCGCCAGTTCACAGAAATAAAATTACGGCGAATCCATTTCATTTTCGTTAAGTAAGGTCGTTCGTTAATCATACGCCCCGCAGTACGGCCATCAAGTATACGCCGCGTTGGTCGGACAACTGTGAATTACTTGACTAGTCAGGACCTGTTGATCACCTGCTGGCAGAAAGCCAATCTTGACCCTTTATAGATATTAGAAAATTAAATACAATACTATTTGCTGTTAATATAATTTTAAGGAGAGCTCATAATTTGATTTATTAAAAGCTTAAGGTTATAAAATTAAATAAAAATAAGGGATTCGTTTTGAATAAAAAATAATTTATCTCTTTAAACCAGGTGTATTTGTGTCAGTTTGTCTTTTAGTGGGTTAATTGGTCCATTCATAAGATTCACATGAAAAGCTCTTAGCGGAAAATTAAGGAAAACCGTCCAAGTTAAATTTATTGGCAGATGCGTAACACTTTGCGTGAAATGCGATGATTAAATTTTGGCTCGCTTCAGACAGAACGTGTTTGCACATGTTTTTTCCAGCGAAAGATAATAAAAATTCAACTCTTAACTTAAGGGAGCCACTTTCACACTTTTTTAAAATTAAACACAGATACAATATTTAACACTCAGTGTGTGTGTGCGTGGGAGAGTCAGAGCCAGAGTTGCACGACCTCGATTAAAAGACACCGAAAATCCAACGAACTGCAGTTGCAACCCATGGAAAGAAACCCCAAGACCCGCTAATTGCTCCCAAATGAACGGAAATCTTTTCGGGCAAAAAAAATACATTCAAAAGAGTGGCAAAAAACCCAAATTCGCTGAGCGCAGCGGAAAAGAGCGCCGTCGAAGAGCGCGCGCCCCCACGGCAAAAGCTCTCTGGGGAGCTCTGGGGAGCCGCTCTCTCGCGTTTCTGATGAAATTCAATGGAATTGCCAGGCGGCTGAGAGCGCGGCTATAAAAACTCGTGCTCCCCAACTGGCGGCATTCATTGTGAAATTGAAACTCAAAATTGAAAAATCGCGGACGGAACTAAAGCGGAACGCCAAGCGCGGAAAGAATTTCATAATCAAAAGTTAATCGCAAGCCACGCAAATCAGTGCCAGCACCAACAAATAAAAAAGTGCGAAAAAGCCACATACAAACAGCAAAAACAAAAATCCACACAGAAACAGTGTCAAGTCAAGTCGAAGCTAACAGCTCGAAAATTAATCAAACACCAAACCACACAAAACCACTGGATTATAACAACAAAATGGTCGTCGAGGATACCTGCATCATGCACCAATTGGACCGCGAGCTCGAGATGGAGCTGAACATCGATCTGGCCATGGAGTGTGCCCCCATCGGGCACACCGTGAAGGCGGCCCTGCGCCGGGCTTATAGCGAGTCCCGGGTGATCGTGGGCCTGTCCGCCGCCATCAACGTGCTCTCCAAGTCACCGGAGGGCTCGCTCTTCTGCCTGATGGCCGTGCCCAAGGACGGCGACTCCGCCACCCACATGCACGAGGTGCTGCTGGAGGCCTTCTGCTATGAGAACGACATCTATGTCATCAAGGTGGACGACGCCACCAAGCTGAGCCGCATTCTCGGCCAGGAGACCGTCGAGTCATGCTGCCTGGTCCAGAAGGTCTGGGACTCTGCCGACTCTGACGACGAGGAGCAGCTGACCAAGGCCGAGAGCCAGCTGGTCGACTACTGCGAGGCCCACTGGGACGCCCCCAAGCATCCCATTGTCCAGCTGCCCGCCGTGTAGATGCCGCTGTTGCCGCTACCTTTAATTGAACAAGCCCGAGCACAGTGGGCCAGCCGAGGGTAAAACCAGCTAAAAACACAATGAGGAGCAACCAGTATCCCAAAAACCAGTTGCTGGGGTTGATGCACCCGAACGTCTTGGACAGTTCCCGATGGGAAACCGACGATGAGGGATCGCCCCGTATATACGTACATATATGTATAGGATATATATATAGCCTAACGGTACGCGCATAGAGGGAGGAGGAGCTGCAGCGCCTTGGCGGATAATCGAAACTGAAAGGCGACCTTCGGGTTGTGGAACCTGCAGTCGAGATACCCGCGGAAGTTGCATACATACACCCAACACAGCATCTTAAACACACACACACAGCGGCGCGTGACCAGCTGCCGCCTGACACAAACACACACTACGTATACGCAATTTGCCTTTGTATAATTTGTTCGCCTTAAGCGACGCGCAAATTTGCTGATAATGACAATTATTCTGTACGCCGTAAATTGTAAATTACCTCTAAGAGGAGAGCAGCGAAGTACGCCGGAATTGCGTGTAGCATTTAAAGTTTTGTTATGTTAGCTTTTCCCCAAAACAAGATGTAATCCAAAAAAAAAAAACAAAAAAATAAGAAAAAAATGTTATTTAATTTTAAGCCAAAATTAAATTTAAAAGATTTTTTGCATCAAAAAAATAAAAATCAAAATCAAATCAAAACTTTCTCAGTCTTGTTATTTATCCGACAATTGCAGCACATTCTTTATCGGTTTTTAGCAATTCTTCTTTGACGTCAATGGGGGCAAATCCCTTGGATATGGAACTGCAGCCGACTCATCAATCTTTTGCATAAAAGCAAAATAACAAAGCCCCGGGTTTCCCCGGCAAGCGTGCCCTGCATATATATATATACATATGTATATTTTATATATGGATGTGGGTCGCTTATCAGGCGAATTCTCGGAACCTGGGACACGCAGAACTGGGGAAAAAAAGAGTCTGAATTCGGGACTAATAAGTTTCCCCAGAGATCTGTTTCATAAGATTCGAGCGTGTGCCCAATCTTCTCATGCAACTGTATTCACTTTTCAGGTAATCGTTTGCTAATGCGATAACAGGTGTGAAACCCCTCAGTTTACCATCTAATTTGCTACAATCGGTGATCAGTACAAAGGTACTTAATATTATAGGTCATGCTTATGCAGAGCAAAATTAAAATCGTTGTCAAAATTGTCCCATATGGTGAAATGAACTATCAGGCGCCTGAAAGGGTATCATAAATACGGTCCGTGGGACAAATAACTTTAACACTGCCAATTAGTACATAAACCAGTACCACTTGATAATTTTCAATGGAACAAACAAATAGTATTTATTCTTAGGACTTCCTAAATAATAATTGCAGACTTAAACTTGCCAAACTCGATATCTCCGTAACCAGTTATCGGTGAGCGTATCGTACATTCAATGTGCTAACTCTATAAAAGCTAAAACAAATAGAAACTACAAATATATGTACTAGGCTAGCCTCAATGTTCAAGTTGAAGTGTAAAATAATTAAAAGCCAATTAAATTAGGAAACCAATAGGCAATGATATACGCCCATCCTGATCACATTATATCGGAACACGTCCTCAATCATGGCAATTGACTTAACTATGTCGGCCAGACGGATGTTAATCAATGCCAGACACCGCACAATGTCAGTTTAATGGACAGAAGAGACAAAAGATAGCTCAGCGACTTGGTGAGAGGAGCATGCGACTAGCTCGTGCCGTGGGAAAATCACTGGAAAAAAGATTGCCACTGATTAGGACTATTAACATGGAACTTTTAATGGTCAAGGCATAGGTCAGTTAGGCAGGCCGAAAGTCTGGGCACGATTTTTTTTGGGGAAAAAGATGCGAACAAACTTTCCATCCAGAAATTAATTAACAATCGTTATGAGAAGAAGTTAATTATGCGAATAGGAATATTGTTCATGATTTCAGAAACATTAATAGACCAATATTACTATGTATAAGTAACGTCGACTTTATCAACGATTTCTTTTTTATTTTATATTAAATCAAATATGAAGAAGAAAGCTAAATGCCAAGTCAAGTTTACCTACTTACTCTACTTTACAGGACACACCAAAATCATTTTGGTCCTTCGAGTCCGATTAAAGTTTAAAAAGGGTAATATTTATGATTAAAATATTAAGTAGTAGCTACATATCTGAATTTGTTTGTAAAAATATAAAGTACATTAAATAAACTGTATTATTCATTTTAAAATTCTATATACTTCGAAATTTAAATGATGTCCTGGCTCAAGAATAAAAAGCCTACAAATACATGTCATATCAAGGCGATAAGAACGTTCACATGACAAAAAGGGAATATATTATGTGTAGTAATTATTAATTATATAGTCAAGTCATGTGTTTGTCTTGCCACCTGGCATTAAGTATAAGCTGATCACACAAACTGCGCTTTGGATGCGTTTTTAGGTTGCACAATAGATGGGTAAAGCCAGTTTGAGGCGGTTCCAGGTCCCGACCGATTATGCCCCCCTAATTAGCGACCAAACCCATTGTCCCAGTAGATTAGAACAAATGTGTCTGAGAGCGTTTATATGGGCTAATTATCGGGTGTGCGGTCTGGACGGCTGATTTGCTATCCGCACAGATGTTATACAGGCGTTACCCCGTTAATCATCATCTGTACTTTACCCGCCACCTCGAATCCAGCGTGAATTCCAAAGAACTTGCCGTGTACCCAATGCCGACTCCAATCCAAACAATCCAATCCAATCTGGCCCAGTCATGGCGCGTTGAGTAACGCCAAGCCATGCGGCCATTGACTGAACAATTGGAGTCGGCTTTGTGCGCTTGGCTTTCGCCTCGGAATCCGAATCCGAAGGGGGAAGTAAGTATACATGCTTTTGGCGACATGCAAATGCGATCGCCAAGCTTTGCACCCTGATCGCCGCTTCATATTTGCCCATTTACGGAATTGGCCAAAGAGCGTGACTTGGCGGGATTCCGAAGGCAGACTGGGGGACTGGACTGGGCCTGGGTGCAAACTCCAGCGATACAGAGATTCACCTCCGGCGGCGATGTCGTCGAAGGTAAATATGATTCATATTGAACGGTGCTAGCCCCGGCCAGCTGGAAATTAGCATAATTCTCAATGCGAGGCGTTCGTCAGATGCCGCTCGGAATACCCCCGGGTACAGATACAGATACAGATACATTTACAACCTGTTGCTGGCAAACTAGTTTTGGGTCCGCGCGACAAAGTCAAGTTCTCTCAGCCAAGTCGCTCAATTGCCGTTCATGTGATTGACATGAGCGCGTGCTACAGGCCCTGCGTGTAAAATCCCGCCCCTTGGGCCACAGGGGTCACTTCTTCGGAAGATTAAGTGCCAGTCTACCAAGATTTAGTTATTAAGAAGCCGCCCTCAATCGATTTAAACCTAAGATCAGAGGCAAACATGTTGACTTTAGCTCAGATTGAAAACACAAAATATTGTTGTTATTATTATTATTTAAATGAAGAGTGTGTACGTTGAAGCTGCTTTTCTGTGGAACATTAAAATGCGCGGATTTCCCCGTAAGAGCTCAGCTGCTTATCACTGCCCTGAGCTCCAATCCGTACGATTATGCGGCGTAGAATTATCAGTCGGGACTTACGGAGAACCATACTGCGCATGGAACTGGGAATGGGACTGGGACCTCGGGGATATTAATATTAATACACGACATTTAGCAGTGGAAATCTCCAGTCCTGCACTGATAAACGACCAGAATTTCCGCACTTTAGCAGTAGTAATCGTATCAAATCGCCCGATATTTGTTTACTATAGTCTGCCCCCACAATAGCATTGAACTTTTCCGCAATCAATTGATCGCTGTGTGTGATTTCCCTGAGGGAAATCAGGGCTTGTCGACTTATGAATGAATCTTGTCGCTCGAAAACGGGTTTTTTAATGGGGAAATTTTACAAATATACCCCGCTGGCTCCACGGGGGATGCCGGCATGCAAATAAAGACTTTAGCCAGGCACTTTAAACACTTTTATGATGGCTATTGCACAATCGTAGTGAAGGAATATTAAGCATGATTCCGCACAATCTAGTGTGGGCTTGGCGAGCTGATAAGAGGGCCAAGATTGTGGAGCCACGCTTCCCGCGGTTCCAGCAAATTTTGAGTAATTGGGTTTGCTGGGATTTCAATATTTACGTTTTCCCCGAAGCACGTGCCCCGCCACTGAGATTGCTCTTTTATGGTTCCAGAGAAAGTGGCTGGGCAAATAAACAGAGAGTTTACTTTAACTAGGGGACTTTTTTAGTGAACTCCTTATCAAGTGACCCTGGCCTCCAAACATTATAATTTCCAAATAATTTGCTCTTAGCTGGAAACAAGTCTTTGGTTTAAGTGACCCACTGGGGTGTCCAGACGGTTATTTCACACCCAAACCGGTTCGCTCTGGTTCCTCACATGATCTGCGTGCTGCGGCAGGAGCATATCGCACATTCGGTGGGGAAAACTAATCGGAAAGTCAAACATAGTGCCCTATAACAGTTAAATAGAAGCGGGCGTAAAACGCAATTGCACTTTCCGATACGCCACACCCCCATTAGCCCCCCAACCCTGAACGGTGGCGGGTTAAATATTTGCACAAACAAGTCCGAGCGAAATTAGCGCCACAATTATAATTGAGAGCGGAGTAGACAGGTACCGTCGAACTCCAATATTTAATTGCCGTTTATCGCGGCCATAAACCAGCTTTGATAGCGCTCTCCGCGTAAGAGCTCTCACCTTCCGTATCTTTTCTACGCAGAGAGAGGAATTAACGCCAGGGCGTTGAATTTCACAAGAACGAACCATTGTGATTCCTCTCCTTTTTTTGGGACTATATTTACACTGACACAAAAACCTATAATAAAGATTATGACTTTAAAATTCCTAAAAAGCTTATTAAGAATTTAATTGTTTCCATTGAAGATAATATAATAATAATAATAATAATAAATAATAATATAAATATAATAATAACAATATAATAATTTAGCAACAGATTTACTTGTATATATATTCTTTAGAAAAAGTTTAAATTTGCAATAATAAGGCCTATTAAATAAATAATAAAATACAATACAAATGAAATATGAAAATTGTCATTTATTTAACAATGCATAAACACTGGATTATCTTAAAAGGAAAATATTATATTATTATGAGTTCATAAAAAAATGTTCACAACATTAAATATGAATAAAATCCGCTTTTTAGGCATTCTTTTCTCTCAGTGTACGCATCACAAGTACTCCCCTTTAACGCGTGCCAAGTAGCAAGTGAAATCGTTAAGATTAATGGCGGGGGATCTCCGACCGAGCGACCGAGTGACTGATTGGAGGGCAAGTTCGCCCGGCTGTTCGTCCGACGACATGCTCGAGCACGTTTCGGTTCGATAAGCACTGCACCCTGCATACCTGGCGGTCTTTGGGGCCACATGTCCTCTGTCTGTGTCTCCGCCTCCATCTCCATCTTCACCTGCTTACGCAAGTCGTGCCGCAATCCAGAGCCCAGCGTGTTGCCAGTACCGTTACAGCGACCACCCACCG